CTCAACCGACCATCAAACCAAGCTGGCTCTCTACAGATGTCAAGCAGTTCGGAGACTTATGACATCAATTGTGACTCACCTAGCACGACAGAAATCATGAATGCAGTCACTTCTATGAAAAAAACAGAACGGCTCCTGGACAAGACGGGATACCATCAGAGTTACTTAAAGCTTGCTTACCAACTCTGCTCGATCAGCTGCACTCTATTCCATACCATTTGGGAAAGAGAAGTTTTTCCGAAAGACTGGATGGCTTCAATTTTAGTCCCGGTCCCCAAAGAGAGTGATAGATCTAGATGCGGAAATTGATACTGCTTAATCGCTTAGCAGTCGTCAGAGATACCCACACTCACCCGAACCCGAACCAAGGGGGAGGGGGTTCGCCGCGGAAGAGGCTGTGTTGAACGAATCTTCACTCTCCGTAGAATTCTGGAACACCGCTACAAGTTCCAACAGCCTACCACTGCATGTTTCATTGACTTCCGCGCTGTTTGACTATGTCGATAGAGAATCCTTGTAGTGCATATTGCGGTCCGACGGGATCCCTGAGAAGTTCATCAGGCTTTTAAAGTCATACTACTCAGGGACCCGGGCACGCGTCCGTACCTATGGAGAAAAATCGACTGAGTTTACCTTAAGCTCTGGAGTTAGGCAAGGTTGTCCTTTATCGCCGGTGTTACTCAATTACACCGTAGATTGGATAATGCTACAAGCACTCATCGACTATCCTGGAGTGCAGCTTGGTCCAGGTACATGGAGTTCGGACCTCGAATTTGCGGATGATTTCGTTGTACTCGGAGACAGCATGGACAACCTCCAGCCTGTTGTCAGTCGTATAAATCAGTTTGCCCGGTTCATTGGGCTAGAGATCAATACGTCGAAAACGAAAACCTTTTCGGTCGAAACTTCTGCCATGACACAACCCCTCTCGATTAACGAGGAGCTTGTAGAATCAACCGAAGTTTTCAAGCACCTTGGCTCTACGATAAGACCAAACGGTCAGGCAAGGATGAAATTCAACTCCGTATATATGGAGCTAGTAGAGCCATCCTACAACTCTTCAAACCGTAGTGGAATCGATGCAAGATAAGCCTCAACACTAAGCTTCGGGTTTATCAGGCTTCCATACGCCCTATCCTCATTTATGGTTGTGAAACCTGGCCGCTAAGAGTACAAGATACAAAGAGACTAGAAGTCTTTGACCATTGGTGCTTACGCCGCATCTTGAAAGTAAATCGAAGAGATCGGATTTTCAATGATGGGGTTTAAGGGCGCTGATTGAACATTGACAAGCTTTCAAAAATCCTACAAAGCGGGCGCCCTCAGTGGTTTGACCATGTGCTCCGAAGGCCCGACATTCAACTCTCGCGACAGGCTATAGCCCCCGCACCGTGCCGTGGATGGCGTTGCCGACTCGGTGGTCAACTGAAGACCTGGAGTGGTACGATCAAGGCGGATTTGGAATTACTGGATCTTCAATCCGTACATGCAATTCCTAAGTGGAACCAGAACTGGGTTTCTCACTGCGCCAACCGATCGTCATGCATGCGCCGCCAACATTAGACATCCAGGAACCCGAATATCCG